TGTCAAATTGTGGAGATGTACTGGTATCACACTGAGCCCATTGGAAAAGGTGTATTTGGTCACATCTTTGCTGGCATTAATTCAAAAGATGGCATGGAAGTTGCAGTCAAGAGAATCGAGAATTTGCGTCTAGAGAGGCGACAAGATGAAAGAGAAGCTTACACCTTTGCTTCGCTTACTGGATGCAGAAATGTTGTTCATTACCTTGCCTTTTGCACAGATGTGCACTTCTCTTTCATCATATTGGAACTCATGGAAGGAAATCTCAACAAGTACTTTGAAAGTCCTCATTTCAACAGCAGCAACAACATCACTCTCTGCAGAGATGTTTTCTGTGGAATAAATTACTTGCATGGGGAAAACATTGTTCACCGGGATATTAAACCATCTAACATCCTGTACAAAACCCATCCTGAATTATGTGTGAAAATAGCAGACTTTGATTTAAGTCGTCGTTTAGATATCGATTCATCGTTCACTGTTATGGCTCCAGGAGTTGGAACCAGGGGTTGGATAGCTCCAGAGGTTGTGAAGTCAACTCCCTATAAACATTCCATGGAGTCAGATATATTCTCGTGTGGCCTTATAACACACTACATCTTCTCACCAAAGAAACATCCCTTTAGCCCAGCTGTTTGCACAGGAAAAAGTGATTTGCAGATCAACCAGGAAACAGAAAAGAACATATCTGATGGAAAAATGGAAAGTTTTGATGGCTCTATTGCGCCCGAGGCCTCTGATTGTATAAAGAAAATGCTTGACATCAATGAGAAAGAAAGACCAACTGCAGAGGCTGTACTAAAGCATCCAATGTTTTGGTCAAACAAGAAGAAGATGAATCTTCTTACTGCTGTTGGTAATCAGCCAGAATTTGAAATACCACGGGTAAAAAGAACTGTTCTAAGTCCTATAGAGTCAGATCTACAATCAAATGTCTCCACAATAGTAAAGTATGGGAAATGGGATGACCCTAGATACACACACATGCCTGGAATCTACTCTGAAATGACAAAGCCGATTGTCAAACCAGCAAAGAAGGGAAAGTATCATACCATAAAACCTAGAAACTATGNNNNAGAATTTTGGCTGCTTTTATAAATAGTTGCATTAAATGCATTTCATATGGGCACACTTTGGGGCCTCCTCATAATTGCCACTTTTACTCTTATTATATTAATTAATATAGTTTTTGCTATTATCTTACTTATTATTTCACATGTATGTTAGCTTTTTATAATCATATAATTAAATCAAGTATGATTTTAAGAAAGTCCTTTGATGTAGTCTGTTCAAGAGAATTAATTTAGTAAATATCAAAGATTAAAAATGTTGTACTTTATACCTTCTTGGGGACAAGGTGATTTACATAAGCTGTTGGTGAATATCTGTTCAATTGTCCACATCACCAGGTAGATATTGTCATA